GATGGCCATGCTCTGGGGGCTTCCCCCCACCAGCAAGCCCCGCAGAGGGAGGCAGGCTCTGGGTTTGGGCAGGGGTGGCTCTTTGGACAGGGGTGGCTCTGGAGGCAAGCAAGATGGCAGAGCCCCATCTCTGATGGTCACTCTCTGTGTGCTGCAGTGGCCACTGTCAGTATCACATTCCCCTACTTTGTGCCCCTCCCTTTCGTGCCACTCCACTCTCTGCCCCCTCCCTTTCCATGTTATCAAAACCAGTCCCATTTCCAGCACTTCCTGTTTTCCAGTCACAAACAAATTCTGACCTTGGATTAAGTTAGAGTAAGAGGAAGCTGCATACCAAATGTGGTGGTCCTAGCTCTTATGGTTTAGGGGTTTTTGAACAAACGGACAAACAGATGCACAGACAGATACACTCTAAAATATATAGATAGAAGAAGATTGAGGCCACAAACTTAGCACGATTCAAAAAAGGACTGAACATTCATATTTATAATAAGACTACAATTATAAGAGTAAATATTTTTTAAAGATTTGGAAGATACATAAACCCTGATGGCTTATATCATAAGCAACTCTCTAACTACTGGAAGTGGAGGAAGAGAGAAACTTTCCCTATAACTGCCTACTGCAGGATGTTTTACTCCTTGCCCAGAGCAACTGTAACTGACCATTGCTTTAGATGGGATTTTGGACTAGATGGAGCACTTTTCTGAACCAACAAGCAAAATTCGACATTATTACATGGCATTATAGCACAAAAAAGCAAACATTTCCATCTGTCTATCTCTCTCTGAGAATATTTAACCTCCTATCTTTAATTACTAAATGAAATAGATATCCACATGTATTACCAGAGTAATTTCATCTTGATGAAGGTCTTTGTGTTCAAATATTTAGTCATGGGGGAATTCTACAATATTTGCACTTGGAGCTATAATAAAATTGCAGAATTCCCCCAGCACTGACTATTATACTGGTTGAACTATTCTGGTCAAGGACTCGCTGTTCCAGCGACATCTGAGATCTAGCAGGATCATGGATACTGTAGAATGAGAAAGCCTCTGGACCAGAAAGCCTCAGCTGCACAAGTTGTCAGCAGCTGGTAGTGGAGCCTATCTGGCGGCGCGCAGTTCACAGGGCCAGTAGCCTGAGGAGGGAAGCCTGACTCACAGCTGGGGGCAGCAGAGTCCTGGCAGTGGGCTTGCAGCTGGAGGTGGGGAGCCTAGGCGGCAGGCGAGCAGCAAGGGATGATGAAGCTCAGGTGGCTGGGGTGGGGCCAGCAGCAGGGAGCCCTGCCAGCTGGGGCAGAGTTCTACCAGACAGAATCCAGGCAGCAGAGCCTGGGCTGGAAGCTGGGGGCAGCTGAACCCCAGCAAGCAGGGTGTGGGCAGTGGAGTCCTGGCAAGTGAGCCATGGGCAGCAAGCTGGCCAGGGGCCAGAATGGGAGCCTGGAGAACCTGGAGGCCTGACCTCCCCTATTCAGCAAATTCCCTCGTTCAGGATCACTCAGGACCCAAAGATGCCAGATGAGGGAAGTCCAATCTTTACTAATAGGCTATGTCTACACTGGCACCCTTTTCCAGAAATGCTTAAAGCGGAACAGTTTTCCGTTATAAGTATTTCCGGAAAAAGCGCATCTACATTGGCAGGATGCTTTTCCAGAAAAGCACTTTTTCCGGAAAAGTGTCCGTGGCCAATGTAGACACGCTTTTCCGGAAAAAAGCCCCGATCGTCATTTTCGCGATCGGGGCTTTTTTGCGGAAAAGACTACTGTGCTGTCTACACTGGCCCTTTTCTGGAATAGTTTTTCCGGAAAAGGACTTTTGCCCGAACGGGAGCAGCATAGTTTTTCCAGAAAAACACTGACAATTTTACAGTAGATTGTCATTGCTTTTCTGGAAAAGCAAGCGGCCAGTGTAGACAGCTGGCAAGTTATTCTGGAAAAGCAGCTGCTTTTCCGGAATAAGTGGCCCAGTGTAGAGACAGCCTAGGGAACAACTACAAAAAAGTTTCTAAGGTAAATACATTTCTATGTCACTTTTTATATGTGAATTTCATTTTCAACTGAACAATTAAGTTATTTATAAAGTCAAACTGTCTGATTCAAACGGATGTTACCAAATAAGGGATGCAGCAGCTTAGCATTTCATTTAAATGCAATATTATTACTATTTTCATGCATCAATAAGCTTTGACTATGAAGCTAAAGGAACACTTCAAGATATACCTAATATATTATTATAAAACACACAATTAACATCTATGCATCCTAACTTGCAAAGTACTGAACCCACTTAACACCCATTGATTTCAACTGTTTTTTTGAAAATTCACTATTTATGGTACATACCTTTACATATCACTTATTATGGAAAATTAAAATAAATGAGCTAGTGAGAAGACAGAATCTTCAATATGTAGACTGCAAACACAGTATGGGGGATTTTTATTTATTTTAAGTCTTTCTATTTAAATTTAATCAGGATTAGCAACACACACAAGAAGACACAAAACCATCGTGCTTTCAAATGAAATAAATTTCTATTCTCTGTTAAATCTTTTGAGGAAAAGGAAAGTAAGCTGATTCTACTTCTTTGATGTTGCAAAAGCTCTCAGTTTTGATGGATTCACCCAGTCAGAATACCTGAAACAGGTTTAATTTTTTATTTAACTGAGCCACATCTTTTACAAACCATTTGCAAGAACAATTCAATTTAGATTATTCTGTTATATCCTTGAACTTACTGATAAAAAAATGAGAAATTAATAGGTTTTTTACAGTGTTATGTATTTTTGAATGTTTAATATCAAACATTTTAGAGCATTACCCACTTTAATGCCTTCTTTTTAAAATATGGCATGCTTAATTAAAGAGCTGAATTTGATATTCAAAAGTTCTGCATAACATTTTAAAGGAGAGAATGAGATGAACAGGGCTGTTAATCAGTCAGGAGTTGTAATCCTAAAGAATAAATCCTGCCACATGAAAAGTATCCTAAACTCCCAAGTGAAGTGAACGAAATCAAAGAAAGCATTTAGCATTTGCAAAATCAGAATGCGAAGCAATAACATTCATATTTTTGTAATCTGAAATATAAATAGGTAAGGACTGACTTACCATTAAAAAAATAAGCAAGTGCCCAATGTGACTGAATAATAAGGGATATACTTCATGTAAAAATGTTATGGTATAACAAAACATAATGCAGTACCACACATAATTTTACAAGCCATATACCAATCTGAATTTGTAGTATTTATACACATATATACATTTTAAGTTAAGCATTAGCGAAGCACAATGTTGCATTAGTGCCACCAAAGCCAAATGAATTACTGAGAGCAATGCGTCGTTTTTCACTTTTCCACTCCTGCGCTGTTAGTGGAACATAATTGAGGTCAAACTCTGGCTCGGTTCTATCCAAGTTGAGAGTAGGTGGTAAAATTCCATGGTAACAGGACAGTACAGAAAAAGCTGCCTCTATAGCCCCTGCAGCCCCCATAAGATGTCCTGTTGCTCCCTTTGTTGAGGAAACTGCTAGAGTATATGCATGATCTTTAAAAAGTCTCTTGATAGCTCGATTCTCAGCAGCATCTCCTAGTGGCGTAGAAGTGGCATGTGCATTGATATATGTTACATCCTCAGGACATATTCCAGAAGCTTTAATTGCTGCAGACATACATCTAAGGAAAAAGAAAAAGAAACAGCTTGATTTCCAGCAGTCTTTTGTAATCACTGCCATCTGTACAGAGTGGAAATATTTATTCAATGCTAAAATCAGAATGGTTGCATTTTATGGGCACTTTGTTCCAATGCAAATAACTACACAAGATGGAAGACAGAAGAATCAGATCCACACATTTTATCAGCAACAGAAGAGTAATATACACACTTAGATCTCAGGAATCATAAGTATTTTGTTCTTCTATAGATAGCGTGTAATTGAATAGTCATGTAACTGCATGCAATTTTAGCGGTTACATGACTATTCAATAGTTCCCAGAGATGGGGGTCAGCAGTCAGTGAGCTCCCAGCCCAACTCTCAGGGAGCCCCCTGGCACCCTGCACTGCTGCCTCTCTATCAGAGGCAGCAGTGTGGGGTGGCAGGCTGGAGCCAGTCCACTAGTTTAAAAACCAGCTTCCTGTGCAAACTGGCTCTGCCTGCTGCCCCATCCTACTGCCTCTGATACTGAGGCAGTAGGACAGGGCGGCGGCAGCCCCTGCCTGCAGGAGGCTTGAGCTCCCCGTGGACAGGGACTGCTGCCACCAAGCAGCGTCTGTCCGCACTGGGCCTGGGCTCACAGTGGACAGAGGCTACTTCACAGGATGTCAGAGCATTCTCTGTCCACAGAGAGCTCGGGACCTCCCACAGACGGGGGCTGCTGCCACAGAGCAGTCTCTCTTTGCAGCAAGCCCAGGCCACTGTGGACAGAGCCTCCCTGCCCCATTTAAGGGTGGAAATGTCCAGAGCCCAAGCCCCACCATCCAAGGTGGGAGTGGAGCTGCTGATTCCACTTCACCATGGATCCCAGCAAATCTAATGCCTTGGCAACCTCATTAAAATGGCATTATGACCCACCTAGGGGTCCTGACCTACAGGATGACAACATCTGAACTCTAAGGAGGGATTTCACAAAAAAATGAATACAGCTCCACATTGTATTGTGTTTCAAGTAGATTTCCACAGCAGAAAGGAAAATCATGAGCAGTGTTCCCTGTAAGCTGGATGCTCATGCAGCCACTCAGGAGAGATTCCAGTAGCGCCCAGCTGATTATCAAAGCAATCACAGCGAGGTTTTTTCTTTCTATTGGTGTTGCATGCCCAGCTGATTATCAAAGCGAGGTTTTTTCTTTCTATTGGTGTTGCACGTTCAACATGCCTCAGTGGACATAAAAATATATTCTGCAAATGGATGGAAAAATTCATACATGGATGGAAAAGATTAGAGGGAACATTGATCACGAGTGCATCTTTCCCTGCTCACTCTGCCCACGGACGCTTCTTATACCGTAGGTATGACTGAGCGTTTTGGTTTCATACAGCCTGGAACTCCTGGAATTCCTCTGCTCTATATAATTTTGTATTTTTCAACATAAAATACATTTTTCCCAAGAAGTGATGCAGTCCACCTTTTGTCCACAAAAGGCTGCTGTGGCACCAAAACAGTAAGCTGCATGAACCCGGTCAGCTGTTTTGGCACAACAGTTGCCTCCCGTGGGCAAAAAGTAACACTGCAGCACTTCTGGGGCAGAATGTATTTTCTGTGGCAGGGAAAAACGTTATATGCCACTGCTGCAGAATTCCCCCCAGGAGCAGTGTTCATCACAGCACTCTGCCTACAGACATAGGTTAGGACAGAGTGGGGCACACAGAGCTGCTGTAGGGTCACAGACTAGGGTTCAGAATGGCTAGTGGGGCGGACAGACAGGAGCATGGGCTCAGGAGTTACTGGAGTGACAATGTTGAGCCTGAGGGTGGGGAGTGCAGGGACAGATGTGCCTGACTAAGAAAAAGAAGGTTGGAGTCAGCATGGGGGAGACTTCCCAACATCCTACCAATTCTACCCACCCAAAAAATGCCTTCCCCCATCCACATCCAATACCCTCCAGGTTCACTCCAAGGCTCCTTCCCACTCCCTCAATTCCTCTGTTACCCAGCTTCCCCAAGCCTTTGCACTGCTGTGTTTAGTTCTGTATTGTAATTTAATCAAATTACTCAAAGTCCTGTATTCTGCCTTGTGAGGAATCCACACTGAAGGCCTGATTCTGCATTAAGATCCCAACAGAGCAAGGCACTTAAAAAGTGTCTGTTTTAATCACGTGCTTTGCATAGAAACTTGTCTACATAATTTGTTCTAATTATGTCCTACATCTTTTGAGAGCATTTTGACTATTTATGCTGGTAAATTCTAAGGAGTTGGTTAGTTTTCAAACATTTTTTTCCTGATCCAACTATTGATACCCACAACCCAGTGGAGATGGAATGAGGAGTTTGGGATGTGTGGAGAATGAGGCAGAGGGTTGGGATGCAGGATGGGGGGTGGGGATGGGAATGAGTGGTTCAGAGTGTGGGAGGGGGCTCTGGGCTGGGGTGCGGGAGGGGGAGAGGGCTTTGGATTAGGGGTTAAAGTCTCTGTGATGGGGCTGGGAATGAGGGGTTTTGAGTGCAGGATGTGGCTTCAGGTTGGGGGGCTCAGGGCTGGGATGCGGGGTTAAGGCACCCAGTTACCTCCAGCAGCTCCCAGTCAGCAGCACAGCAGGGGTGCATGGAGGCAGGCTTCCTGCCTATCCTGGCACTGCAGACTATGCTGCATTCCAGAAGTAGCCAGAAGTAGGTCCGGCTCCTAGGCGCAGCAACACAAGCAGCTTCACATGGCTCCCGCCCACAAGTACTGCCCCTTCAACTCCCGTTAGCCAATGAGAGTGAAGAGCCAATGCTCAGGGCAGTGACAGCATGGCCTTCCTGCTTAGGAGCGGGATCTGCTGGCCACTTCCCAGACTGTAGTGTCAGGACAGGAAGAGATTAGCAGTGGTTTGGCAAGTCACAAGTCAGCTTTCCCCAGTCTCTGTGTGCTGAGCAAGGCAACCCAATGCTTTACATTCCTGGGTCACAACACAAAGTTTGAAAACCATTGATTTAAGGGAATCGTTCTGAGAACTGACATTCTCCAACTACAACACAATCTCTTATGTACTAGATGTTCAGTATGGGTTAATTAAATAGCTTTCCTAAAGAACTCAGGTAACAGCATTACCTGCTTTCATAACTGAATGTCTCTCCTCTTAAATATTCATAAGGTTTTATTATACTCAGAGAGCCTTTAGCATGGAATTATAGTTGGGAGTAATTCATGGTGAACAGCTGTGTACATCAAAAGTAAGTGAAATATTTTCCATATTGAATACAGCTTCCATAATATCACACAAATAGGCTTGATCTAGTGAGATTATCTTCCCACTACATCAGTTTAAAAATAAAAATAAGATAAACTCTTACAAAAATCTTTCATTGTTCAGATTTAAGCTTTCAGGTTTCACGAAAATCTGCATGCCATTATATTTTAAACGCTCCCACATCAATTAAAGGTATGTGGATGGCATTCATGTTGACAATTTAGATAAATTTAGAGAGAATGTTGACCAACAAAAAATAACATCTTAATAATTTATCTGTCAAATTAATCTACAAATTCTTACCTAAAAGCACCATCTCCATCCGGATTAGGTGCTGTTATGTGGCAAGCATCACCAGAGAGTCCATAACCTAAAATTTCTGCATACATTCTGGCTTCTCTTTGCATAGCATGTTCATATTCTTCCAACACCAACACAGCGGCACCCTCTCCCATTACAAATCCTTCTCTCTCTGAGTGGAATGGTCGACATGCCAGTTTAGGGCTTGAGTTAAAGTTAGTGCTGAGTGCCCGAGCTCTTGCAAATGCAGCTACTGACAAGGGGCTAATAGAAGCCTCTGTTCCTCCAGCCAGCATCACATCAGCATCACCATAGGCTATAAATCTAAAAGAATCTCCAATAGCATGTGCTCCTGTGGTACAAGCAGTTGATACAGCATGATTGGGCCCTTTCAGCTGGTATTTAATGCTGATTTGACCTGCTGCCATATTGATTAAGATTTTAGGGATAAAGAATGGGCTGACTTTGTTATAGCCTTTTGTTTTAAACGTCAAGCCTGTATTGAAAATATCTTCCAGTGGAACCATTCCCATTCCAATCGCCACACCAGCAGTTAAGTGATCCAGTTCAGATTGCGGATGCCAGCCAGAGTCTTTCATTGCTAGTTCTGCAGCACCCATGGCCATGATAGTGGCAGATGCCATGGATTTGCTTTCTGATTTCGACACAAAGTTTTCTTCATTGAACTGACCTTTGCCATTTCCTCTTGGCACACAAGCAGCCACTTTACATGGAACACTTGTATATTCTTGCCCATCTAGAGCGATAATCCCACTTTCTCCTTGGAGAAGGCGATCCCACACAAATTGAGTCCCAACGCCAAGAGGAGACACTAAGCCAATACCTGTGACAACGACTCGCCTTTGATGTTTTGAAAGTGACTCGGTGCTGAAACCCTTTCTTAAACACTGCTGTAATTTTGGATTGCGAGACATAAAACTTAGAATTTTTAAGAAATCTTGTAATCCCTGTGAGATCATAATGGACAGCAGGGTACTGAAATGTGTTTCTGTAACAGGAAAAAAAGGCAACAATGAAATAGTTGATGTAAAAGGTATTTAAGTACACTAAAATTAGGACTAGCCTTTTAATGCACGTCTGATTTGTAAATTGCAGAGAATCATTTTCCTGGTATGACTAATATCTCATCATGATTATTTATTACAGTGAGTTAGGAACCTCATCATAACCTTTATGGCAGACAGCATGTTTTAGAGCAGGGGTGGATAATAAGCGGCCCATGGGCCAAATGCGGCTCACCAAGGCAAGCATGTCCACAAGTATGCCTGCTTGCAGCTCCTGCTGGATGTAGTTTGCCATTCCCTCCCTATTTAGAAAATGGGGCATTAGATCAGTGAAAGAGTTGGATTCTGTTTCCAGCTCTATCACTGATCTGACATGACAAGGCAAGTCATTTCACCTTTCTATGTCCCTCCTATCCCTCACACATTTTGTCTTGCCTATTTAGACTGTTAGCTCTCTGGGACAGGGACTCTCTTAGGGTATGTCTACACTACCCCGCTAGTTCGAACTAGCGGGGTAGTGTAGACATACCCTAAGAGAGTCCCTGTCCCAGAGAGCTAACAGTCTAAATAGGCAAGACAAAATGTGTGAGGGATAGGAGGGACATAGAAAGGTGAAATGACTTGCCTTGTCATGTCAGATCAGTGATAGAGCTGGAAACAGAATCCAACTCTTTCACTGATCTAATGCCCCATTTTCTAAATAGGGAGGGAATGGCAAACTACATCCAGCAGGAGCTGCAAGCAGGCATACTTGTGGACCTTCATACAGCACCTATTACAATAGGGCCTCAATCTCAGATGATATTGTAACACAAATAAATAAACTCTGTCACTTGGGTATTCCTCACTTTGCATTTTATAACAACGAATAGTCTGTGGAACCTTAGCGCCTAATAAATAAATAGATAAATAAATAAAATGAGCTTTTGCAGGCAAAACCTACTTCCTCAAATGAGCGGGGGCAGAGTGGGGAGCTTTCGCAGGCAAAACCTATTTCCTCAAATGAGCGGGGGCAGAGTGGGGAGCAGGAAAGGCAGGTCCCCAGGAGCTGGGGCATGTGGGGAGACAGCTTAAAAGCATATCTGATACCGAGGCAGCAGTATGGGGGGGAGGGCTATAAGGGAGCCAGTACACGTGGGGAGCCAGCTTTCTAGGCAGTTATATGGGAGCCAGGTACATGTTCACATCCCTACTTTCAATATTCTGCAAAAATATTAACTAATCCTTTGACTGCCCCTAATGTTAGTTTAACACTTTATGTATGAATGACTATCCATTTTATAGTAGAGCAAAATATTTTTTTTACATCAAGCTGTTTTTGATGTAACTATTTAATAAAATCAGATTTTTTACCTTTGAGATAGTTTGATCAAGCTTTAACCATATATTTAGATCATAACATTCCATAAAGAATCAGTCAGTAATTTAAATTAAATTGTTGTTAATTGGAGGGGAAAGTAATGTAAAGTCATATAATATATATCAAAATATTGCCAAGCATGTGATGTAATTTACATTTATTAAAAATGTAATACAGTTGTCATTGAGAGGGCCATTAAATATGGCCACTTGCTCTTTTTAAGCAGTTATGTGAAAAGTTTCCAAAACACCAAATGTCACACAATCAAATGTATTTGCCTTCATCAAATGTCTTCTATGCCATTACTTGCATTGGTATAGTGAAAATAAATTCACCGGAACATAATGATCTCACAAGATTAATAGCTCTCTTTGAAAATGACCATATTTAGCATCAAAACACTGCATTATTATATTAATGATATCTTTTGAAGTCCACCTTCATCTGAAGTATCTGGTATTAGTCACTGATAAAGAATAGGATTCTGGACTATTGGTCTGATTGGATTTGACAATTTGTGCAGGTGCTCGTTGGGGTATTATTTGACTCTCAGAAACTTTATTATTTGTGATGATATGCAATAAAGAAATAACCATACTTCACTATTAAGATTCCAAGTGGAGTTTGCAGGGCTTTCAATTTGAAAATAACTGTTTTCTCTTCTAAATGGAGCAAATTTGGTTTGATATCCATGAAAAATAAAAAAGCTTAGAATCCTAGTATGGTATTTCTGACCAAATTAATTTTTCAGAGGGAGGGAACTGCACTTGCAGATAATATTGTTGTAATACAGTGCTGTTCTGCCTCCTGCTTCTAGATAAAGAGTTGGATGATTATTTTAACAGAGTTGTATTAATCTTGTGACAGCATTTGCTTCTAGTGCCTTTATTTCTATTGTGCCAAATGTTTAATGGTGTAATGTTGTTTTTTACCCATAAAAATATGTGATTTTAGTAACAATAGGTATTTTGGATCTTGGCCTTGTTCTTTTTGCCATGATCATGATCATGAGGGTTAGCCAGCAGCCTGGGAACTAAGGGGTTAACCTTACCTAGGTCAGGTAGATTCAGCCAATAGGAAGGTAGGTAGGAATTTCAAACTAGGACAAAGGAATTTTGGGGTTTCCCTCCTTTGTCTTGGGTGCAGTTTCTCTCCATCTACTGAGGGGGACAGACAGAATGTCTCCCTCCAAGAATAGACTCTTCACTCTTCTGTAAGTAGGGTAAAGTTTAGATAAATCCATTAGGTTTTATTGTTTTATGGTTTGGGAAATGAGATCTGATGTCTGTGCATTTAAAAATGCTTTTTGCTCTCTTTTGTAACTAAGCTCCTGGCCCAAGGAGTATTTCTTTGTGACTTTTCCATTTAGCCATGATGCTTGCAACAGGAATATTGTGTTGATAATAAAAGTTCTTTCTCTTTTCTTTTATTAACCAGGTATTGGTTAATTTTTGTGTCCTGGTTTTTACTTTAGGGGTGCCATTTCCCAAGTGACCTCTCCCCTGATTTTCTTATCAGTACTTGGGTGGTGGCAGCAGGATTTTATCCCCAAAATCTAGGTTGTTAAGATTTGGGGGGGTTATACTAAAGCTTGGTAGATAAGGTTTTGGGGTACTTTTGCGGGCCCCCACTTCTGCATTTATCGTGCCTGAGTGGGGAAAGAGCCAAGACAAACAGGTACTAGTAGAACTTTTCTCACTTTTTTTTTACAATGTTTTCCTTTCTTACATATGACTGAAGGCAAAAATGAAGAGTACTAAAGGGTCTGGGAAACCTATATTATATTTTGCATTTAGCTTTTTCAAGTTTGGTGAATATCTTTTCCAGTTGGAATGAGTGTGAAGAGAAACTGAAAATAATTTTATTTTCTGTGACAAACTACAAAACACTGTGGTTTTAAAACCACAGAAGAAGTGTGTTGTATCTTTAAGGCTGCTGCTTTCATGTTTATATTCTGCTGTGGGTCAACATTCAGCATGTTTGGCAGCCAGACTTCACAATTTGCTATGATATATTGTCAAAAAGAAATCTTATAACAAAGTCTATTCCAGAAAAAAAAACAATCCTAAGGCACCACTATTTATTTAATAGCTATTAATGTTCTAAAGAAATAAATAGAAATAAAAAGAAATAAAGTAATGTTAAACTAATATTAAAGGCAATCAAAGTATTAGTTAATATTTTACCAGCATATTCAAAGTAGGGTTGCCAGGTATCCGGTATTGAATCAGGTTGTTCGGTATTTTCACCTCCTGTCCGGTAAAAAAATTCAGAAAATACCCGACACTTAAAATGTCCGGTACTTTCTGATTTTTTCCCAGCCAGGAGGCGAAAATGGAGGCAGCCTGGCAACCCTTATGTTTACCAGGGAGCTGTCCGGCCCAGCACAGAGAGGTAAGATGGCGGACAGCTGCTGCCAGCATGTTAGGGCCTCACCACACAGTTTTTAAAGGGGCCACTTTTTTTTTCTCTCTCTCAGGGTCCTTTTTTTTTGGGGGGGGGTTCGGTATTTTTTCTGAAACCATCTGGCAACCATAATTTAAAGTATAAATCTCTATAAAAGTGCCAAGTGAGGGATACCCAAGTGAAAGCTTTTATTGATTTGTTTTCCAGTACCAACAAGTTTCCAGCCCTTTTGGCTGTAGAGAAAGCATCAAAATGTGACTCTGAGTACCCCTTAAAGGCTCAAATAACAGATAGCCCAGCCGTTGCCAAATGGGCCGCAAACTCCCATCTGCCAGGCCACAGCACATAATCAGGACATGCCTCCAGCTTTTATTTAGCCCCACCTGTTGGGGTTCCCCAGGAATTCCCTTCCCACCCACTTCCCCAGGCAGCAGCAGGACAGGGGGGGCGGCTGGCAGTGGGGAGTGATATGGCTGGAGCAGGGATGGCAGTGAGCCTGTCGCTACTGGGGCAGCTTCATTGCGACCCCGGTTCCAGCTCCAGTGGTCACTATGCAGCCCAGGCAATGGGGCCAAATGCCACGTGGAGAGTGGCTGCCCTAGACAGTGGGGCCAAGAACCAGGTGAAGGGTGGCTGCCCCAGCTGGCAGGGCCAAGTTCTGTGCGGGGGGGCCAAGGCCCCCGACAGCCGCCAGGGCCAACCACCCCCGTGACATGCAGCTGCCCCTGCGACCCTGTTCTCTTCCCTCACCACTCAGCAGGTACTTAAAATTCTGGTGCAATTGATTTGCCTAATATACTTTGGGCTAAAATTACCCTAACAAATATGCTAATATTCCAGTGCTGGTCTACCACCAGTTTCTGAATTACTTTTCTAGTCCACAGTATAAAAAAAGTTGGGAACCACGGAGGCTATGGCTACACTGCCTTATTTGTGCGGAAGAGGATATGCAAATTGTGCTCTCATTTGCATATCTTCTTCTGATTCTTTTTGCAGCAGAGGTTTTGCACATAAAAGGCCCTGTGTAGACAGGGCCATTTGTCAGAAAAAAGCCCTCTTTCATAAGATCCCTTATTCCTTGTAAAGTGGGCTGTGCCCACGACAGCTCATGATGCCATCTATGTTTTGTTAGTCTTTAAAGTGCTACCCGACTATGTGCGGTTACATTTATCCTGTACAGACTAACTCCGCTACCCCCTGAAGCATCTGGGCTTAGCGCTTAATCATGAGAACAGTTACACAGTAACACTCCTACGACATAGTCCTATGGGGGGCGGGTGAGATTTGCCCAAGCAGAAGGGGAGCTCACTAAACTGAAAAATAAGACTGGGCAGTACTGCAGCGTTTTGCTCCCTGCCCCTGCCCAGGCGCACCACCCCGGGCCTGTGGATTTCTCAGCCTCTGAGCTGCGCCTGCACCGCTGGTTTGGAGCGGCCCCGGGCACAGCGCCGCCCAACAAGGGACTCCCGGGGGAGGGGGAGGGGCGGTGTGA